CGATGCGCGCGCGCGCGCGCTCAGGACGTGCTATGGCAAGGAGCCAATCTGGCGTGACAACTGTTATTAGAATAACCGGTACGTCATGGTTTGCAGATTTTTCGGAATACGTGCTTGAAAAAGTTGCTCATGCATGCAAACCCCGTCATTGACGATGGCGAGAGCCGCGGGCCCCAAGGGAGTCTTCATTAGCTCAGGCTAATTAACAACGATTGGCCGGGACGGTCGGTTGTTCATGTAAGTGGCACGGATGAAATAAACATATGGCGTACAGAGCACCGTACACCGTGAATTGTTGATACCGCATGCATATTAGGTCATACACAAAGCTTCCGTGCAGAGAGGCGTGACCAGCAAATAGGTCACGGCCACTAGATTACTCGGCCTCTACAATTCGGGCCACAGAGATCTAGCGTATGATCTCAGCGCGAGCTGGCCAAAAATCGAGCAACGTCCAGACGGTGTACAGACATAGCTCCGTAATGACAGATTCTGCATTTGTTGCGCGCCCAATCGATTGCGCCCAGCTCCTGATATCTCAAAAGTATACATGGCTATGACAAGAGGACTTAGCATAACGATGTGTTGTCAAGAAATGGAACGACGCGGTCAGATACTTACAATAACCGACTTGTGTTTGGGAAGACGAGTTCAATCGAATCTGAATATCCATATGTACTTTTCTGCAACCGACAGGCTGCTCAACCAGGACCTTCTTACATTCTGCTCGAGTCTCGACCAAATAATGCCGCCTTCATCCAATCCATGACGACCAGGCAACGGGTACGCCAACTCACTTGTTTGCTGCAGCCAAGGAACAAGTAAAACGTCAAATTGAGCAGATTTCAAAAGGTGCGTCAAAAAGGCATCTCAGACATTGAACTGCTGGCGGGCCTACGAGAGCTGCGACTTGAGAAGACCGATGTGCCATCCTAACCTCCGGGAAGCTGCTTTCGTTTCCATATATAGCATCCTAGGCAATTTGCTACTCGAACTTACAGTCATTAACACCCATGTGCACACTTCCGGCAAAGGTGCAGGCTCGAGGAGCTTCAACCCACCAATGCGTCCAGCCCAACCGACTCGATCCAGAATAACGAAGCGGCTGAAACCGTCTTTTGAAATGAGCTGTCAGATTCTTTCGTCACATCGCCGGGTACTTCTGTCACCAATAAGGGCAAAGCCCGTATGCAATTGCCATGGTGCACATGTGGCACAATACTGAAGACGTCATCGAAAAAGCATCATACGACTCGTCAGCTCCCACATGTGCACACCGGCCGACTACCAAAGCTACCCCAGGTCAGGTGAACCCAATACGCCTGAAAACGTAGACGTCACGAAACTGCCAGGATGACGTCAGGGCTCACCTCGCGTACACCGAGTACCAGAGCCACATGGTGCTCCGCCCGGAGCTGACCCAGTCCCCGGGCAGCTCCACGGACGCCTCCCCGCCGCCCAGTGTCGTGAACTGCCCGAAGTGCTTGTACCTGAGCAGGAAAGGAATTAACAGGTTTGTTGGGTGTCTGTACCTGATAGCAGGCTCTTCTACCAAGCTTGGTGACATCTGCCCTCGACGTACCTGGTTCTCAAGCAACCCAACGGCCACAGAGATTCACGACGGGCGCGTTCTTGGACGTCAACGTTCTACGACTGGACGAACGACTCTACCTTGAACTTCTGGAAGATCGAGACCACGACTCTGTGAGTGAACGCCAAACCTCAGGCCAATCAGACACTGCCGCCCCTTATCATTTAAAACACGCCAATAACTCACTTCAATGGTCTGACCAGAAAATCCAAACCGGGGTGGCTTTGGAGGAGCAGTTATTACATCATATGTGATATCATACGTTTTTGATCGTCTTGGTTCCGACTTTTCCACTGGTCGTTTCTGGACCACTTTGGAGATACTTTCGGCAGCGGAGTACACGGAGCTGTGGAAACGGAACGGAACTGTCGAAGCGGAGGGGAGCAGTCAAAACGGGACGGTCCGCGCACCTGAACGGGTGGCACAAGTGGCGCCCCTCGCCCCTTATCCGCATTGGTCCTTCCGGTACAATGTTCCGCTCGGCCATGTGGTTCAGTGCCTTGGCCAGGTACGTGCCCTCCTGTGACGCCACCTGGCAGATATCACAAGAATTGAATGAGCAATAAATGGAAGTAGATTGCGGTACAATTCTACTGAGGAGGCTAACCCTGGACGACGCCTGGACGGCGGGGTTACAGACGTAATACGGTTTGCTGCTACGTAGTGAACCTGAACTGCGGACAATTTTGAAGATACTAGAACCGCTGGCTTACTGAAGAAGGGAGATCGAGTAAGGTAAGGTATTTAAAAACGGCGAAACCCTGCCAGCAGCCAAGGTGTAAACTGCAAGAGATGACCATTGATTTCTTTGCAGCCCGCATGGCTGACTTTTTTGTCCAAGACTGCCGAGTCTTCCATTTTTCAAACAATCTATATTCCAAGAATGCCGACTCCAAAAGCACTCTTGGAAAGCTTCAAAGCGCTTTCATGACGTCAGCCTCCTTCCGCCACTCAAATGGCTCTTTGTGCGCGTCCGCCCCCACTCTTATTCCCTTCTTTCCTTTGTGGGCGGAAGCTGCCAAAGTCGGCCGTAGCTCGGGAAAGGGGCGCAGAATGGAAGAACAGGAGAGTACACTTTACAATCCATTAGCTTCGTGACTGTGCTCGCCATCGGCTCTTCGCTTTCAAGAGGGGACCAAGTACGCTCGTGCATTACCTGTGCGGTCGCCGGCAGCGCCTTGACCTGGCTGTCGATCTTTGAGAGCGCCTTGGTGAAAGCGTCGATGTCAAGCGTTATCTTGGACGGGTCCTCCGCAAAATCGTGCAGCAGAATGCGCAGCCCCGACTTGCTCAGATGGTGCTCCACCTGCGGGAAGCAGAAAAAGATTCGAAAATAAGCTATTAGGACTTAATATTGTCAAAAAGCGCGACATGAAGCTCTTAGGACTTGTTGTTTCGAGGTGTTAGGACACTGTCTGAGGTGTACTTTCCATTTGAAGTTGCTTTTGGCCGGGTTGATTCACAATCCGTCATTGGGGCGAGCATTCAGAAAAGAGTCTAGTCAGAGTTTGATCTGCTGAGTACTCAAACCCTCCCTGACCTCTGTAGTCCATCGTTCCTTGCTTACTGTACTAAAATGAACGTCTATATACCTCAACCCCGATTCACAAGGCTAATTTTTCTGGGCACATTGGGGTCCTCGGCTGGAGACCCTGAGACTGCAAACCCGAAAAAAAAAACTTGTGATCCTTCCTCTGCTCGCAAACCGAAGAGCACGGCCCCATGCTGGGTAAATTTCTCAAATCCTTATGAACGGGCCATGTCGCAACTTTGTCACCTCAAAATCGATCCAATGCATCGAGCCCCACTTTCAACCCTGTATTCATAAGAGGCTGCGTCTAGGCAGACCTCAACCCAAAGCACGTGTCGACAAAAGCGAGACTGGCTCACCTGGGGAAACCGCTCCTTGACCTCGCTCAGCACCTTGGCCAGCTCATCGTACGTCAGCTTGCCGTCACCATCCTTGTCTGCCAGCTTGAACAAGTACGTCACATCCTCCTGCGCAGCGAGGAAGAGATACAGATTCAGCCGTGAACCAGACTGCACACGTTTGCTTGATGTTGAGAGCGGGAGACGACGATGACGCCAAACTTTGCATAATCCCTTGTCAAACTACCCCTGGAATTCATCCACTTCGTCATGACACTACAGCCAGAGCCCAACACGTCCGGTTTAAGAGCCCGGAACGTCTGTGTTCTAAACCCAAGGCGTCCGAAAGCAGAAGTTAAGACGTCCGAATCAAAGCCCAGACCGTCCAAATCCCCGGACCGTCCACATCCGAATTTCCAATCAGCAGAAAGCCTTCCTGTTCACTAAACCGGAGGTGTTCTTCCTCAAGAGCCCAAGATGAACCGATCTCGAATCCATCAAGCGCTCCATGCAACCTGCAATGTTCGCAATCCCCATCGTTCCACCGCCAAAGCCCAGCCACCGCGCAACTCCCACAGCAGAAAATGGCCGAACTTCTAACAACCAAAATATTCAAGACCAGAGCCCAACCATCCAAGTCCCAAACTTCCAGTCTCTTACCACCAGACTCCGCTGCTGCACTGTAGCGCAGTCCCCAATAGCGTAGATCCCCTGCGTGCCCTTCACCCGTAGCCACTCGTCCGTCAACAGGGCCCTCCGGTCCGACTGCCCGATCTTCTCCATCAGGTCTGAAACGAGAGGCCTTGTTCCGATTCCGGTCGCCCATACCGTAACCCCGAACTCCAGCTCCTCCTTTTGCTTCTTCCACTTGTCCCAAATCGTCAGCGTGCGGTCCGTGACGTTGATTACGCGGCAGCTGACTTTGACGTTGATGTCGGACCTGCGCAGACGGGTGCGAATGGGTGTAAAGTGAGGTGTAAATGGTGACCGAACAAGTGCGGTTAAGCAGAACGTTGAGCTTGGATTCCAGCGATATTCTAGTTGCGAGTCTGGCTAGCATGGGCAGTGCAAGCAGGTTGAAGCGTATTGTAAGTTGGAAGAAGAGGTCCGCCGATAGTTGTGTGCTTCAGGGTGTTTTCCAGCTTTTCTAACAGTGAATGAATGGAAGCAATTCTGGAGAGACACGGAGAATACTAGCAACAGCGACATCGACAAAAAAGCGTCATACGCATTACCTCAAGAAGTGTTTGGTGGCGTAGTCACTGATCCGCTGATCAAATCTGCAAAGCCAAGTGTTGCATAGGTCAGTACTTTGTGCATAAGAAAGTGGGCACAATGACCGTACTGCTTTCTTGAGAAGCTATCAACCAAGTGACAGGCGCAGACGAATCTGGTCACTTCGGCGTTGCTTCAGTGGCTTCTGCCAGCTTGCAAATCGCGAGTGAGACACAATTGTTTGAGAATCGAGAACTACTTTTTTGGGGCTTGCATAAAAATCACAGAGCAGACAACATTTGTCACGGTAACCGCATCTGTGATGTGAGACGACCTGCTTTGCCAAGGGCGTATCTACTTGTGCCGCTCTACCCTGAGATCAAGGTTTCCGGCTTGAAAGGCTGCTCTAGACTCTGTCTGCATCCGCTGACCGCACACAGCGCAAGCGTCTGACGAACTGCAACAAGCCCCTTGGCTGAGATCCACACGATCCAACCGCTGCTCTGTATGCTGCACGCTACAATAAACCAAACTTCCTGAAACGAGAAGTTAGCGCAGGGACAAGCGTGCTCACGTGTTGAGAATGTGGTCCGCCGACTGGACCAGCGTCACTTTGGTGTAAGGCGCACACTCTGGATACAACCGCTTCAGATCCTCTTCCACCAGATCGTGCAGCTCTGCGGCAAACTCGCACCCGGTGGGGCCCCCCCCAACGACGATGAAGTGCAGCAGGCGGCGCTTCTCCTCTTCCGTGGTGCTCGGCAGACACGCCGTCTCGAAGCAGTCAATCACCTTCTCGCGGATCTTGTCGGCATCGTCAATCTCCTGCGGTTTCGGGAAGTATTTGCATTTGCTCTTCGCAGTTCGAGTCGTTCGTTCTTTACGCGACCTTAAAGTGTGGGGAAGGAACTACGAACCGGTTCTTGCGGGAAAGGATACTATTACTTTTCCACGATCCGTCAGCGTTGTCAATGTTTGTAACAAGGGCGACACCTGCACAGAATCGGGCAGCTTACGCGAGAAAACCGGTCTGCTTCCAATGCAATGCAAACAACTGCCCAGATGTGGGGTCAGTGGTCAACGCCGAAAATAACGTGCTCTAATCTAATGTATCTCAAACATGTGCGGTTGAAACGGCCCACAGGACCCATCTTGGAGATGGGTGGCCCGAGACTCCCCACCTTGAGAAAGTATGCGTGCTCCTTCACACCCGGCGTTCCAAACGTGTTGGTCTCGGCCCCCACCGCCACGACCAGATAATCGTAGTCTAGTGCGAAAGAGTCCTTGCCGGTGACGCTGATTGCGGACGTGTCCTGCATGATATTATGTAATATTTTAGAAACCCCTGAAGGAATCTTATATGCTCAAATGAGACGTCTATCCGCATGCTGAAAACCTCGTCTGTGCCAGTATGCAGTCTCTGATCATGCAGCAATTTCAAGGAGACCACCTCGCTTGAATTGTACTAGAGGTTCGAGGAACATTGACATTTCCAAGGGTGCTTCTCACGTCAATCGTATTGAAAAAGACGAAGCAAACGGCCTGTATTGTAAAAAGGTTTCGGCCACGCTCTTGAGTCAACCTACAGCCGTCCTTTTTTCTTCTACAGATACAAGAGCACCCACAAGTGAAGGCTTTGATAATGTCTTAGGTGATGAGCAGAGAAGCGCTTACCTTGCAAAGCACCTGCTGATTCTTTGGGTCGATGCTGATAGCCTCTGCTTCTTGGTACTTTGCCGAGCTTTTAGCCTACACAAATCGGGTTAGTGAGGAGGGTTAAGGACCGCATCACTACATCTTTTTCACTGATATTACAGTGGTCGAATTGGGGGTCTTATCCTGACCGCATCTGATTAGAGGACAATCAGCCATAAAGTCCGAAGTTCCTTCAACTGAACTGAATATGCATGAGTTCATCGACCGTTTCAACTGAACTGAATATGCATGAGTTCATTGACCGTTGTTTGCGTCCATGAAGACTGCGTGACTTCTTCAGTGATTCGACGAATGTTTGTTATCAGGATGCGGGTGAAGTTTCTTTCACTGGCAGGATGATCTGTTGCTCGATATGTAGAAGTGGGCCGAAATTACTGACAGGTTTTCCATGCAAACGGGGGTGGTCTGAAAGAATAATGCCAGGCGATACTTTCTGGAGGCTGCCGCATGGGAAAGGCGGTCAGAAGTATTATCAAAGCATGATACGATCTCCTTTGTCTTGCAAGTTTGCTTGCGAGCCTCGCTTGCTATTGATGCAGCCCCCTTCCGTCGCCTCAGAGGGCAAGTAGTACAGTTGCGGTCAAGATGTCTCAAATGAGAACACCAGACTCAAAAGAAGCCTTTAGATTGCCTCTGAAGGGCAGTTACTTACATTCACGATCATCTTGCGAACCGCTTCAGAGATGCTCCGGCCTTCCACCGTTCTGCCAGATGTTCAACAACGCATCAGGAACAGCCAGAAATACGATGAGCAACCTAGCTGATTTATGCCAGATCTTTAAGGTGAAAAAAGTGACATTGGACAAAAGCTAGAATTGACGGATGCAACTCTTCTGGCCTGTTGCACCTCCCCCCCCGCTTCTGCATGCCAAACCTTCTACATCATTCCTCAAAATTCGAAAGAGCATAAAAGCGAGTTGCGGCACTCACCCGACACAAACTCCTGGAAGCAGCGGAGTGAACAGGAAGTAGTTGCGGGGGGATACGATGATGGTCTGTCGAGACAATAGCCAGCCTCACTGAGTGGAAGTTCATGGATATTTTGAATTGTCCTCAAATAACGGTGCCGGTGTAATCTGATTTCCGGCCAGCATTGATGGGGAACTCAAGAATCATAGATCCCCGTTGCCTCAGAACTACAGTAAGATGGTGGAAACATTTGCGACATACGAAGCACAAAGTTGAGAATTCTGTGCATGACATATGACAAACTTGAGGACCCAGATCTCATAAAGGTCTCGAAGAGATTCCAATCCAGGAAAGTAGCGTGCTTCGACCTCCACTTCATGTGTTAAAAACTCACCTCATAGAGGCTCGTATCAAGTCCCTACAAGACATGACGATATGTCAGAGAATGCTGTCCACAAGCGTCGGAAGAAATGTGGCCCTCTCAATTGAAAGACTGCAGGAATACTTGGGGGGACTCTTACAATTGACAAGACGAAGTACTGCGCAAATTAACCAGTAGGAAATCAGACAGATATAATCGGTGAGAGTGAACACTTTCCCTAGAAACATAGGTCCCTGGGTCAGCCGTCGGCACTTTTCCTAGATGACAGAGAGACAGGATGTCTTCACAAGCTATTGCATCTTGTCGCCAGTACTATTTCTGTAAATCACCGAGTGTGTTTTATGTGATGAGCGCAGGTATGGCAGCGGGAAAAATGCTTTTCAGAATCAACATACAGAAAGATCTGAGAAAAACGGACCAGATGACAAAAGGTGCATGTCCTGACCTGCATCACTGCAGTAGCCCCCCACCCGCTGCCCAGGATGACCACCCTCTTCTTGCGGTCCTCGCTCTTCTCCGCTTGCTCCTGCGCCTGTTGGACTGTGCCCTCAACTGGTGAGCTCTTCTGGGGGGCATCTGCCAGGGCCATGCACAACCCCCCCAGGCCGCCGCTAGCTGCCAACGCCAATAGGTAGGGGGTCCTTGATCTAAAGAAGTCACGGCCATTCTGGAATCTAGTCCCTGCTTCCTGGAGTTTTGCCCCGGGCTCTGCAGCCGCTTTGCGTACATTTGACAGAAGCGGTTGCTGTAGAGCAGCCAATGCAGATCTAAACCTAGCGAAGGAGAAGTTGGGTGGCCTCATCGTGAGTTCAGGCGCAGACTACCCGCACGCATGGAGAATGAGCTTGAGAACTCACGCAGATTCACATTGGACAGCGATCCGAGAATTGGAACATCAACTTTGCGACATGCAACCAATTGCCGCTTGATACGGCCTAACCAGCTAAAATCTTTCCCTGCCCTTCCTTCTTGCAGCTGCTCTCTGTCCTCCCTCACTGAAAAAGGTGCCAAATGCATGCAGATTCCAGTTTGTGAACGCGATTTTGGTCGTCGAGAATGCAGACGTCTGATCCCTGACCATGCAGAGGGTTCACCGTCCCATCATCATGCACATTTGGAGGTCACGTTGTAGATCCAGGTATAGGGCCGCTTTAATGTGTCTGCTCTGGGCAGGAATGTAGAATTGGTGTTCATGTTTTTAGAATGACTAGAATCATAGAATTGTAAACACTGGTCTTCATGATGGCACCGGTAGGACTCCAATTTTACTGCAATATCCGAACAGCGCCACGAGAAGAAAGCTCCTGCAGGCTGCAATGCTCAGGCTGGCCTACTAGGTAGGTAGGATACCTAGCGGGTGCCTAGGGCCTACTAGATAGGTAACTAGCGGGTGCATTTGCACAGCTCCAAAGGCTTTTGTCAGCCGCCTGTCACAGTCGCAGAGTCTGTGACTCTGAGGTGGATTGTGTTCAGAACAGGTGATATCAGGCCACATTTTGAAGAGAAAGCGAGAAGTTGGAACGGACGCAAAGCACCAGCCATGGCGGCTTCGGCAGTTGCGCAGCAGGCGGCATTGCAATGCTCAGGTGCAAACATAGAAAAAGGCTTGCTTTTGATCCCGAGGTGGACCGTTTTGGAGGTTGAGCGAGCTTCTCGTTCCTCTACATTCAATGCTGGAATGCTTTGCACTTGAGCTCAGTCACAAAGAGCGGTTCGCTTCTTCCACTCCTGCCTTTTCTGAGCCAACTTTTGCATTGTCAGCATCGTTGGACACGTCTGTCTTTTAGACTGCTACATTCTTTGGTCTTCAGACTTGCATTATCTCCTGTTGCAGCCCTGCAATCGATTGATTCGGCAGCAAGGAGCTCCAAGCGCACCGTAGTCTGCCAGCTCCAAGGGCATCGAAGCCAGCGAGCGGGTGTAAGAAGCCACCTACAAAAAAGCAAGTCGCCACTCATCCGGTCAACCTTCGTTTCTGGGGCTCCTCTAGGTGAGGCGCAGCACACAGGGTGCACGTATTCAAAACCCCCATGTGGGAATCTCGTGAACTTGTCCCAAAACAACGGCTTTCGTTTGAAGCACAAGGTCATACCGTGGCCCCTGCCAAATGGTTTTGACCAGTGCAGTTCCCTTAGTCGAGTTTTCCCTCAAAGATATGTGAAGTGGCAGTCTGTTTAAGCAGAGATGTACTGTGTTTCTTTCAGAAGGGCACCCACACTCAAAAAGGGGCGCTAATGTGCACAGAACTTGCTTTACTTTGCTCAGAACCGGCCTTGCCTTTTCCATCTGGCAGCCTAAAGGCACACCGACCCCTTGTTTGCTGCCACTAGACTGAACATATAGCGCAGAGTAGACGCCAGAGGGCGGCAAAGCTTGGAGTGTCACAAACTACAGCAAAAGCTAATCCCAACATGCTTTCGTAGTGGCGCAACGCCCATATGACATGACCGTTCACGTTCATTTACTTGCAGTTTCTCCTAGCGCTTTGACTCGGACGGTGTCCGCTCCGACTCGACGGAGTGTTCGGTGCATGGCTGAGCCCGATGCACAGTCAACCAATGCTTCCGGTGCTGACGTGTGGTTGGGTCGGGCGGCTATGTTAGCATTCACGGCGGTCCTGACAACCGAAATCGTAGCAGGCAAGGGGGTTTTTGCGGTGAGGCTTTGAGTGACCCGTCCCTTCTACTCGTCATAAGAGATATGATGATGCTTCCGCAAAGCTGGACATACCGAGGCATATGATGTTTGCGGATTTCACGCTCTTACTTTACACTAGTAAGCATAAGCACAGCGGAACCCCAACCTAAAGCACTGACGACTTATCTGCTCTTCTGAATTTTATCTGTTTCAATCTTTGCAGTTGGCGGGCTTAGAGACGCCCTCTCCTGGGCTGGCAATTGCAGTTGCCATCGTCCTGGGGGGAGGAGCTGCATTCTCGGTGCTCAAGTCGCTCTTCAAGTAGGGACAGCCTAGAAACTTCTCCTCTGCAGCCGGTACTTGGACAGGGCTCTTTAGTCGAAGCCTTTTTGCTTTTAAGTGGTGAGTTATTCTATGATTATGTCACGAGAGTGCGGTGATGATTCAGAAGGATTTCCTGAAGCGTCTAATCAGGCAAACAGGGTGCTGCTTGCCCTCTGTCACCTTCAATCATTCACTTCCCGGGAAGGGACAAAGCAGATCAGATTCGGGCTTGCGAGGTACTGGTATGCACTTGACCGATCTTCATAGATGCAATATGCTTGTGAGTTGACCAGTGCCAAAGGCCCATCGTGGGGCTTGGCCTAAATTCGGCCACAGCGGCCTAGCATGAGGGCCGACAACCACCGATAAGCCACCGGCTGGGCAAACGCGTCATTCACACTGCATTGCGGATTACCATGGCTCAGCCTCCCGCAGTGAAAGCTAATCGAGCCTGCTTATATACATGCACGTCTTGCTGAAGATGTCTTGAGAAACATGTGGCGGCAGCGGTTTCACATGTGTGACATGGGGTCTTATCACCAATTTGTAAGTGACTATCCTCGCGAACTCAAGGCCGGGTCGATCCATGGGTCGATCATGATAGCTTGCACATTTGGGCTTAAGGCCTTAGCGGCAGCCCATCATCGAGTCAGCAATGAACTAGGTACGCCATGGCATGCCACACGTGCCATGGCTTAGCTGGCCACCCATGAGTTGGACGCATACGTCATTCTGTACCATTTGACTCCTGACTAGATCAAGCTTTACGCGTAATCACCAGCAGATAGGCCGGGCGCGGCTAAAGAGCGCGACCGCCGCGCGCAGCCATGATCATATATAAACCTGGACCAACAACTTGATCTTCAACATTAGCCTGCCAGAGCCAAGCGCGCCATATGTGGCCTTGAATACTGACCTAGCCCGGCCAGCATTTTGGTGGCGGACGTACTCACACCGGTAGATTTCGGATATGGTGTACCATATTGTCCAGCATGCAGAATCGCTGACTTGAATTTGGTTCAGTTGGTTTGAAGTCAGCAAGTATAAACACAAGGTCTGGAAGTTTGTTGGTCTCAAGCAATGTTCAAGAACATGATATCGAATCTGTATCTATCTACCCTGACTAGGTTCTAGCTCTCTTGATGCCACACAATTCCCCCCCCCTTTTCGGATTCAAATGCTAACCCTATCCTACCAGCGCCTCGACTACAACCTGCCTAGCTGGCCTACTCGAGCAGTTGTAGAAGACTCCTACGAAGTCTCGGAACAATCATCATACAGACACGCTCAAGCAATTGTGTAAACCGACACAGTCGCCCCTCTTTGACTAGGCTAACTTCTATCGGCAATGTCAAGCTACGGTTTCGCAATGGCGTTATTAAGCTGTACACTTGCACCGCACCTCGCGCTCTATCTATCTATCATCCATCTATTTACCACGTGCTCTCCATAAACAATACTTCAACCACTAAACTCTATCCCTTTTGCCCCCCGCGGTGGCCTTGATCTTCAACTTCTCGACTTTCCTGGCCTTTTCCCGCTCTTTCAGAAGGTCCTCCATCAGCGCGGCTTGCAGCCCAATCGCGGCCAGGCGGGCGTCTCTCGTCCCGGTTGCATGACTACCGGTCGTGTCGTTACTAGGCGCGGGCAGACTGTACAGACCGTCGGGGCGCATCTCCCAGGCGGTGCGGCGGTCGCTCAAGCAGAGGTCCAAAACGTCCTGCGGACGATACACATCGGATAAGCTGATGGAGAACACGCCGTTTACAGGAAAGAAATTGCGGAACTAAAGCATCTGAAAACGGCGACAAAAGGGTGCCCGTTAAGATGGCAACGGCTTTGGATCTAGTATCCGAGGGAAAGAAGAGACTGCTGTTGTCGAAAGACCGCCTACTTGAGATAGAACCCCGAATGGACGAAAGCCAGCATAGCGAAGCACTTTAACTAGCCACGTTTGAACCTGACGGAAATGACATCAAGGCGGGACCCCAGACGCTCCTGATATTATTCAAAAGCATTCGCAGATCTTCATCGCGACCTTTGATGACTATGAGCTCGGCCAACAAGGACAAGCACAAATACAGAAACGTTTCCAAGCCGTAAGTGCAGCCCTTGTTCGCACTTGTCATCCTTCGACAATATCTTCAAGACTGTAGGCACGGCTTAACAAAAGATTGCGGATACGAACACTGTTTGCGGCGGTACCTGCAGCTCCTGACTGCAATTGCCGTCCTGATTAATATCTTCATAACCATAAACACGGTATATATCAGAAAGAGAAATACCGAGCCTTTTCACAGCCGTACCTGTAGCTCCTGTTTGCACTTGTCGTCCTTGACGAGCAGCGCCAGCTCGACGCGGCGCGTGAGGTCCCGGGTGGTGCAGTTCCCGGAGGAGAGGTAGAATCGCGGGTCGCCGCCGTTCTCGAAGCGCATCACGCGGCTGTGCTCCAAGAAACGGCCCACGATGCTTACAACTCGAATATTTTCACTGCAGGGGGGGAGCAAGTACTATAAATAGCAAGTGCGCGACTGGGAATGATAACAAACGCAAGCGTGGTCGCCCCAGAACTCGCAACGCTTCACGCGACTGTGCTCCAGGGAGTCCCACGATGTTCCATGTAAGAAAAATGATCGCGAAAACAAGCAAAATGCACGCAACGCGCCGGATGGTCGAAGCAAGTAAAGTGATCGGGAAGGGTGTGAAACTAGAACGAACTCCAGCGAGATGCGCGCAAGCAACCAAGAGTGCGTCAACTTTCTTGAGAGAAGTTCCAGATTGCCGAGAGGGCGAGCGAGCACAGTGAGGACTCTGTTGAACCTCGTGTATTTTGAGAGCTCGGAAGATACGCGTCCCTACTGCAGGCTAGATGGATTGTGCTTTTCCTATTGGGTGTGAACTAATCAGTCACCTGATTCCAGGAACGCCGGGCCGGATCCGGCAGATGCCTTGCACGATGAGGTTGACCTTCACCCCAGCAGCCGATGCTGCGTACAATCTCGCGCACAGGACCTGCAAAAGAAGGGTTTGCTCAGCGACAACGTTTTGGCAATCTTCCATCGCCGTAAGGAGAATCTCTTTTCCTTCATGAAGTTCACAACGATAAACGCGTCCACACTAGCCCCGATCAATGCCCAATCAGACGCCATCTCTTCGGAAACATCAAACTCCACTATACGTTGCAACAGGCAAGCCTGCCAGACGCGGCCCCTTCAAAGCAGACCCGACGTCTGCCTGCAGAACGCCCAGCGGCCACTGGACTGTCCGTCATATCTGCCATTAGGGCTTTGAAGAGGGCGGGAGAACCGGTCCTACTAAGCAAACGTATTAGCTGAGGCTCTGGCTCTAGCAATCGCCCACTAATGCACACGGTCACGCACTAGTACCATCTCACAGGCTGCGTGTGCAGAGCCACGTGAGGAGACGCCGTCTCCCTGCTTTTAGATTCAGCTCCTTACCCGATCGTCCAGCGCGTTGCACTTGATGGTGATCCCCGCCGGGAGGCCCTTGCGCGCATTCTCGATCTCGGTGTCGCACAGGCGGATCAGCTGCTGGTGCATGCTGTGCGGCGCGATCAGCAGCGAGTGGTACCGCTTCTGGCGGTGGTACCCTGTCAGGTACTTGAAGAAGTCGGACACGTCGCGGCCCAGCTCCGGGTCGCAGCTGCAGCAGCGGGGAGAAAATGCGGTTAAATAACGGACCTTGTTATTGCCGGGTTAAACAACTGAGCTGGTTAATGCCGGATCATACAGCTAAGTCGCTTGCTTAGAATGGCTGCTCTATAGACGGAGCGGTTTCTGAGTAAGTCAAAAACTAGAACCTCATGAGGAGTACGTGTCGGCTACGGGCAGAGGTGACGGGGTTTGACACATGGAGCTGAGGAGCGCGTCGACCGAGGAGTTTGCCAAATGCATCTATCTTATTGGTTGGAAGATAGATCAGGTTCTGGTCAATTCATGGTTCAAAAACAGATGCAATAACAAGCGTTGTACACTTGAAAAAGTTTACCTGTCTCTCATTACCACCGGGGTCCTAACCTGAAGAGGCTGACGTCAGAGTATGCCGCAGCCTGGCGGACGTTGTAGTCCCCGGTCCCCACGTGGACGTACGTGTTGTGCTCGGACCCTTCTTGCCGGACCACCATGCTGGCTTTGGCGTGCGTCGTGAGGCCGACCAGACCGTAGGCCACGTTGCAGCCCGCGTCTTCCAGCATTTCCGCGATGTTGATGTTGCGGGCCTCCTCGCAGCGGGCCTTCAGCTCGACCAGAACCGTCACCTACAGAATGGTCGAATCCATCATGTGCCAGGACTTTACGGAGCTGTGGAGTGTGATGAAAAGATGTCCGAATGCAAATGGAACTCTTCCTTCACAGACTCGAAAACCTTTCTGCCTTTCACAACCACAAATAAGACCAACAAAGAAACAATGATAGGCACCCCAGCAGACTTGTTGCGTGGAGGAGGTATATAAGCAACGCGGTGAACAGTATGGCAGGCTGATGCGGAGGCAAACATAGGCAAATGACGTCAGCCAGCTCGCCTTCCAGCCTTCCCAGCTTGTTCTCTCGGTTAGCGGACACTGGTGCAACTCCAAATTCTTTCACAGCTGCTGAGAACTAGCAATGGTCCCTGCTTCATAAGCGTCGCACCCACCTGCTTTCCCGCCTCGGCGGCCGCCACGAGCGCCTGCACGACGGGGCTGTTGGCGCTCGTCTTGTACAGGATCGCCTTGATTGCCACGACCGCGGGGTCCCGCGCCGCCGCCTCGAAGAACGCCTGCGTGCTGGTCACGAAGCTGTGGTACGGGTGCTTCACGAGAATGTCCCCCCCGCCGCGGATCTCGTCGAAAATGGCCGCTGACGAACGGCTGACGTCAGCGAGGCGCGGGTGGGTGATTGGCTGCCAAGGGGGGAAGTGGAGCGCGGCCGGGGAGGAGGTGGGGGCGGGGAGAGATTGCAAGTCGCACAGAGCGAGAGGGCTCTCTGTGGTGTAGACGTCCTGGAGTCAAAAAGGGAGGGGCTGCTTGAGCGTAGAAACTAGTAGGAATGTGATAGGGAGAGAAGCACAACATTCTGCACCGAGTGCCGATAGTGGCCTAGTAAACAATTGCCCAAAAAACCTTCTGTGGCCGCGTGTGTTTTGGCAGCGTAAGAGCGTCCATCTTGCCGGTTGAAAGGGCAAATGAGTCCGTGACACGTCATTAGGTGACTTTCAGACAGACGGATCCAGCTCGATTTGCGAATCAGAGTGTTTTCCCAAATCGGCTCCACCAGCTCTTTGCTAAATCTGGGAACAGTGACCACAGTACCCTTTCTGGCCCAGAGCAGCTACCTTCTCTAAGAGTGATGGAGGGAGAAAGAAAGATTAACACGACATTCCTACAGCGACGACCGCCCTACTGAACCAGCTCAAAGCTAGGACTTTCACAAGAGAGCACGCCAGCAAAGTTCAAGCTGCAGCGTTTTCTAAGTGAGAGTCAAAGAGGAAGGTGTGGCATGAAACGAACAAAACATTTACCTGCTCCAGGTCGAGGTCCATCTCCCCGGCTAGCCGCGCCACCATCTCGAGCGGCATGCTGCGGTCCACCTCGAGTCGCACGAACGGGCTGAATTTGCGCTCGTGCATCTCTTGTGCGATGATCGCCGCCAGATCCCCTTGATCGTCCGCGCCGCAGTGGTCCTCTTCCCCCTTCTTCAGATCGTCCAAAACCAGCATCGTGCGGGTGGCTCGGAACGGGTGCGCCGACAGAATCTCCATCCCGCCAAACAGCCGGTCAAGGTTGGACACGACGATCTCTTCCAGGGGGATGACCGCCCCAGCCTGTGGTGAGTCTGCGCTGGCCCCCCCTGGAAGCGCTTTCCACCGGGGGAGGTTGGAGGGGACGGTTACTATTGCAAACTGGTGCGCGTCGTCGATCGGGTCGCGCAGGAGGACTGCTATGTTGAGGGACAAGTGCTTGATGAACGGGAAAGGGTGGCCTGGATCGACTGCGAGGGGGGTGAGAAGGGGTTCCAGCTCCTGTGTGAAGTAGTCACGGAGGTTGTCTTGCTGGGGATTGGTGAGCTGGCTATGAGAGGCGATGGAGACGCCGTGCTTTTGGAGCTCGGGAAGGATGCTGCCGCGGAGGGCGGTGGACTGAGCAGAGAGGATGTCATGAACCGCCCTGCATAAACGAACGCCCTTCGTTAGTTCTATGGAAATAGAACGATCTTTCAACCAAAACAGCATTGTCGTATGCCTAATCGAGTGGCAACATGTCATAGGTGGACGTAAAAGACGCCACTTGCAGCTGCAAGTGGTTTCACAACACAGGTCTTGGGGCAGCTGTTTATGTTGACCTTGTCAAAGGCAGTGGCAATTCGTTGGATAAGGGAACATGGCTGACTGAAGAGAGTTCTTATTTTATCGAACAAAACGTCTTCACAAGGGACATCATCTTGTTTCTTCGTAATCGACAACACCAAAACCAGATACAAGAATGCGTCAAGGATGTTCAAAACCACATTTCGGCACAATCGTAACCTGAACTCCTTGATGACTTACAAAGAGATGTTCTTCAGGCGTTCTTGCAGTGAGCAACATCCTCTGGTTCCCTGCTTTGCGCTGGCGTCTTGAGAGACCGCTTCCTTCCACTTCAAGCTGGCAACTCGGCACTCAAAGAACTCATCGAGGCTGGCGGCCGCAATTCCAAGAAAGCGGAGGCGCTCGTGGAGTGGGGTTCTCTGGTCCATGGCGACATGGAGTACTCTCCAGTTCAAAAACAGCCAACTGCAGTATAAACGCAATTGCCTCATATGCATATGTCCTTGAGAGTTGAGCTGAAAGAAGCGGTGTCCTTGACAATCAAAAAGTTATCTCGATAAGTACAGGTAAACTGAACTCCTCAGATCGATTAGTCATCATGATAAAAAGCATTCTAAACAATCAATAGCTCATTAAATCCCATCACTCAGAAGGTGACAGAACCAACCCGTCAGTACTTTCCCCTCAGCTCAGTGCTGCCTTTGTTCTATGTCTGCAGCCTTGTAGAGCTCGTGCAATTCGCTGAGATAGGTAGCACGTGATCACAGCGAAAGATACTACGGAAAGTTAAGCAAGGGGCATACCTCAGCTCGCGGGTGAAGACAGACTCATCAGTCAAAAGCTGCTCGATGCTCAGGCCAGTCACACTTCCCATCAGGCCCTCCATTTTAGTTGGGAGGATTGTCTCTCCTTGTGCCGCCTGCCCCTGAGCCACAATCTGCTTCATGTACTGAACTAGAGTTGGGGGCTCCTTCAGATTCAGTGGCGCCGTCCACCGGTGCCCCTCAGAGTCCAACGCCAGGTATGGCGAGTCCACCCCTTGCAAACCGGCAGTCTTTGAGCTCTTTGCCTCCAAGACACTCCCTGCCTGCACTTTGCCCTTCCTTGTCTTCCACCTCGCAGAGCCCCTCCCCTTCGACCGGCCTCCCAAAAGCATGCCTTGGGCTTCATACAGGCGAGACAGCACAAAGGAGCCTCGTTTGGATACTCTTGCGCTGCTGTGCCGGTCAGAGAGGCCGCTCCCTCTCCTACCAGAAGCAACCACCTCCAACGCCTTTGCAATGGGGTCGCTGCTCACTCTGCCTGGTCGCCTTTGGTTCAAAGGGTATTTGACAGTGTCAAGACTGGAACGTTCAGACACTGCTCTAATGACCCCATGGTGAGAGTGTTTTCCAACCAGTGGAAGTGACGATCTTTGAGGGGGTAAGATCTCATGCTTTGGTAATATAGTGGACTGTAGTGGCAGGGGACGGCAAATTGACGGCCTGAGCGATTTTGGGTTCAGGAAAAGTGCAAGTCCAGACGCAATGGAAGCTTGACAGAAAGCCATCTTTGCTTTGCGAGGCTACTCCACATTTGACGGTCTCCTACTCCTATTTTTCCTCAACAGGGGCTTGCGCAACGCCTGTCTTTCACTACAGCCGCAGGGGCACAACTTCAAAGAAACAAAAAGGGTGGAGTGATGCAGCGCCAAGGACAGCAACAAATAAGCGCTCCCAGACTTGTAAAGTGGTTTGAAAAGTAGGTAGAACAAGCCTGCCTAAATCTCTTTTGTAAACAGCGTTGTGCCGCCTTCAGAGAACTTGCAAGATGCCTCCTTTGTGCCGTTTTTGATTCTCATATCAAGCAAGAAGACCACATCCAGAAGCACTGGAAGAAGAATTTCAAGAAAGCGCGTCTGGCCTTGTCGATCTTCAACAAACATCTGAGCACTGCAAACATCTGAGCACTGCAAAGATCGTCGCATAAGAATGCACCTTGTCCACCTGTCACGGCCTTTGAGTGAATTTCCAAGAAGTCGCGCAACCGGTGTGCACGGAAAGTCAAAAGGGAAAGGTCAACCAGAATGGTTGGACGGCTTAGATGGCGCGGGAGCTTCAGTATAGCCACGTGGCTTTACGTCAGGAGCTTGAAAAGCGCAGAAACGACAAGATAGATTTCGGCCGGCCGGATGTTGGACCGACGGTCTTGGACGGCAGACAAAGGTAGCATTGAAAATCGACGTCTGGAATACCAACAGCCACGATACGATTGTCACGGATCCGACGGCAGGTTCTGCCTTTCTTGCGCCGTCTGTTTTGCATTCCAGTTTGCGGTTCAATAGCCTGTTTCTCTCAATCTGCTGCTGATGTCATCTGCTTCTACCTAAACAAGCTAAAGGGTGCATTCATGAGACCCTTCAAGTACGTTGCCAGGCTGTACTACCTACTGGAGCAGCTCATACACATGAAGGACCAGTTTGCTCCACTTTCGAGTTGTGGGTTCATCGGGCCACGTCATTCGTTAGCACAGTCGCAGTACGTGCAGGATCCAGCACAGTACCTTGCAAAGTACCGCCCGGCCAGGCTGGCCAGTGCGGCAGTTTCACTGCACTCCTCCGCTGCACCAGCTGAGCACCAGCTCTGCGTCTCGATTGAGATCCATTATGCACAGAAGTCAGGTGTAGGTGCTGATGTCACAGACTTTATAGGTGAGTCCAAAATTCAGACCTGATGACGCTCTGGAGGCGCTCTGGTTCTCCTCTGGTTGCTATGTACAGTGTACTCCGAATGAAATAGAAATGATAAGACTTTTACCGCAGGGCGCAATCAGGCTGTCACCCGTGCACGCGCCACCACGATCCCCATTCACAGCAGACGTGGCTGCAAACCGGCAAACCCCATTGGATGCCTGGCCGATGGCAACACCATGCGTGTGCACTTTACGGGATGTCAAGGTATCAGAGAATAGAGAGAGTGCTAGAAAGGTCAGAATGGGCTTTCTGTAGATGTGGAGTCTCCTTCCAATACTAGCACTCATGCGTGAGAGCATTTGGAAGCTGCCCCAAGGGACCTTTCGCCTTCTTGAGCAGGAGGGGTCAGGCGTAGCCTTGCTGTGTGTTGGACCGGCCTGATCCGTCTGAAGAATGGCAAAGCAGGGTAGGCAAAGACGTGATGCTCAAGAAGTCCACCATAGATGAGGGCCAAAATGCGGCGGAAGTGCATGTAAGACGATTGACACCCTGGGCAGGCATGCCGGGTTACAATGGATGTGTCCGACAGTCCAATCGGACCTGGTCACAGCCACATTGTAGCGGGCTGGTGGTCTGATCTCTTCCGCCTCTTTGTAAGCGTAAGTCACCCCCGTCTATAACGAGCATCTCAATACATGCTCAGCTCCAGAACATACTTGATCTACACATTGAGAGGGTTTTGTTCAACTTCAGGTTTTTGCTAACGGCAGAACTCTGCTGCTGACGCTTGACGGTAGATGTAAGCTGAGGCTAAACCGCGTTGAAGAAAGGGTTTGATAAGAGGGCTTGCATGCGGTGGCTTAGAGTCAGAGTACGTCCCAGTTTTGAAGCCAGCCAAAATTGTTTTGACTCAGCGGAACGAGCATTTCCTGTGCCTAAAGCTTCATGATGGCACCTCATTGATGAATATCTTTGAGATCTGCCGTTGTTGGAAGTGTAAGGTTTGGGGATCGGGCTGTAAAGCAAGCAGTTGAGTTCTAGCATGCAGTAAATGCTTGCTGTGAGTTGCTTGTCAAAGATTTGCAACACAGCCGGGGGTGTTCCTTGTTCATTAAGAGCAGGAGACGGCGAGTATTACATAGGCAAAGAGGCTCCACTTTGATCATATTGGCAAGACGCAACAAGTACATACCTGTTTCAGCTCAACCAGTATGAGAGTAAAAGGGTTTATGTCATCTTGCAGAATGTGCAACACAGCAGAGCTCATGCTGGAAGGACTCCGGCTTGCTTTCGTTTATTCTGAAAGCAAGCTCGTACTGTGTCCGTTTTTGACAGCATTGTAGCGTTAGGATCAATCAGCACTTTTCTCCACTTCTTACGGTCCTTCTTTACTCCCTTCCGAAGCACACCGCTCATCTGAAGCACATTGCTCATCCCAATTGAGCCTCTGTGTATCTTCAAGTCTTCTGTTTTATTACCACAACAATCTGCTCACGAAAACTTCGACTGGAGAGTGCTAGCTGACGTACGTGGTGGTAGATGTTTCATAAAGAGCAGTTCAACGTTCTGACGTGAGAAAGCATAACCTGCATGTGCAGCTAGCGTTCATGCTGTCAATCAGGCAATGGAGCAATTACTGAGAGAAGGCGTTTGAACTGAGAGGCACTCAGCTCATGCAAGCTGTTCAACCATTTAAAATTGCAAAGCAGCACAGAGTCTGAAAGGCTGTGCTGGTGTGTGCTGTGCAGGACAGGGGCTTGAAACTGCGGCTCAACATTCCTGACACGCTGATCATCGACCAGGGCTGCCTAACCGTCTGGTAAACGAACCCTGCTCCTTCGACTCTTTTCTTCATTTGAGCTCCCTTATACAACCCTCTTGCGTGCTTACATTGCTCAGAGTTGAAAAAGAAGCTGTGTCGCTTTACGAAAGATGCTGCCAGACACTGTTCGGCTATCAAGCCGAAGCCGTCCGCTTTGCGGTCAACATTGAGCAGGATGCAAGACTCGATTCAGTCTATATTCAGCTTCATACGAACAGAGGCTCACCAATGCGTTGTGAGTTCATCAGAGCGCATCTTCACTTCGCTGGTGAAACCACAGCTAATGGTCCACACCACGAATTTCTTTTCTGACAATACCATCTAGTCACGAAACACGGCTTCGGCATTCGAGCATGCCGTTAACGAGACTCCGTTTGCATCTCTCTAGCAGTCACCAGGATAACTGGACCTAGTGTAGCAGATTTACGACTCAGGTCATGACGCTTGCTGATTGGCCGGCAGGTACCAAACCTCGGACGATGGGTACGTTAACCGAGTGGCCACTTCAAAGGCTACCAGGGAGGCGTTTCGGAAGCGATGCGAGGAGAAGTTCACGGAGGTACGTGGTTATAAGTTGCTCTCACCTAAGTAGCCACTTTGTTTCTATCCTTCTTTCTATGGGTCTGCAGCGCTAGACGTTACCAGCACGAAGAAGAGCAAGCTCCAATATGCAAGGGAACTGTTGATTACAGGAATGGAAGACAGAGCAACTTTGCCATGCGCAGACGGCAGTTGGATAGAAGGCTTGCATCCGGACAGCTACTGCGGGTAAAGTTGCTACATTAGCAGATTCAGGAGAGCTAACTTAGTAGGTTCAAAAACGCCTAAGACGTGTTTTGAGTGGGCCCGCTGCGGAAGAAGACTTTCCTTGTAAAGTGACCGTCGAACAGCTTAGAGGTACAATCTTAGGTCCCTGCTGCAGCGTGACGTCTGAAATGCATTAGCTTCGCTTTCCAAACCCCGACGATCCAGCTAATGCTGACCATAGACGTTTGACTACCTCTAAACACGCGACCAACCCTACTTGCTCAATTCAGATTCTCCTTTGGTTCAGGACGCCTGCAATCCCGAGGGGTGGATCGCCGTCGCCCGATCCCTTGGCCCCGGCGACCAGGAGATCTCGCAGCTGCTTAGAAAGGACGATTTGGACGAGCTCTTGTGCTCGCTTTCGGACCCTTCTCCATCCGAACAAGGCGTCCGGAGTCCGAGGGTGTACGGAAACGGAAAGGTCCGGCGGAAAGCGGCCACAGCGGAGCAGCCGTTGGGGCCGGGAGCTTTCGGGGGGTTGTGCTGTCCGCATTGTTTGCAGGTAAGCTGAAAAGAAAAGCGCTTTGGGAGAGCTTGAGAGGAGCGCAGTAGACATGTACATTAGGCCGAGGAAAACTGCAGGCTGTTCGAGTCACTCAATTTGTGATGTACAGGCTTGGTTAGGCTTTGCTTTCAGTGACCCAGTTGAGACAAGTCTTGCTTCCGTGCGAAAACCACCTTCCAAACTTCCGAGAACAAGGTGTTCGAGAAAAAGTCACTGCAAACAACTGCGGTCGCTTCAAAGATTCACACTCACATTCTTCGACGCACATCCTGGAAAGAAGCGAGAACTTTTTTTCAATGTTCTGTTCTTCCCCATTCGATTTTGTATGGGGATTCCGGTCTCTCAACCTGTGCAATCGTCTCCAGGTCTACGTCCCGCCATCTCTGGACCAGAGGTTCGTCGCGACATGCGTCCAAGAAGGGGACGGTCTTCGATGTAACGCCACAGTCAGGTTGTACAGCCGGCGTTACCTTGGGAGTGCCAACGAGGGCGCGCTGAGCGCGCGGTCAAGAGGAACTAGGGGCGACGAGAAAGACGCGGAGGAGAGCAGGCCGTTGCAGGACGTCCGTATCAAGACGGACGTCCGAAGAGGTGAGAGGAAGCGCAAGCAGCTTATGTGGAGCTCGATCAAGGGCCTTTCATATCGCCACGTTGGTCAAGCGGCACGTGGTTTGCTAGCTGCGAACACCAAAAGTCCAGATGAATTGGCAAAGCCGTTTTTGGAAAAGGTTTGTCCCGCACGAGCTGATGAGATTCGATATAGCAGGAAAGCTGATGATACGCGTGCTGTCCTCGAGAGGCGTTTCGATATGACCATCCTACAACTTGCGGCCCCTCTAAAGAGCGGGGTTTAATCGCTTTCGAGAACGCCTATCTGACGCCACCTTGACGTATGCAGCCGCCAGCTCATTGATCACTTACGTCGAGAAGGCGCACGGGCACCGCCTCGTGGGGTTCGTGGCGGAGTTCGTGCGGGGCTTGGAGGGAAGAATCTACCTGACCGCCGTGCACTCAGCAAAATGGGCGCAGGTACGTCACTTTTTTATCATTCGGACGTTCAACACGGGAGAGAATGGTTGTGGTAGTCCTTGCAAAAATTCTGGCGCAAGAAAGGTGTCGTTTTATGTGTGCCAACAAACCTCAGGTGACGACGCCCCCATCTGCCAATCTTTGCGTTGGCCTATGATCTTTTGTTTTCAACATCAAGGAAGTTAGGGGTTCAGAGGACTCTGAAAACTGAATCTTCTGGGGCCTGAGAGAACAAGAGGAGGGAGAAAAGAAGCTCTCGAGAAAGAGACCCTATTCAGCAATACCCCCCCGGGATTGACGGACTGGGTTGAACAATATCACCAACATTCACCGTCGATCGAAGTGGTTTGTATTGGCGGGGGGCCCCCAGGCAATCCGCCTCGGGAGCCCCTTTTCTTTCTCCTACCGTTCTGAGACGGTTATCACTTGCAACTCGTGCAGTACATCTCCGAGACGACGGGCCTCTCTTCTACCGAGCACGCCCCGGCGGGCGCCCTCGCGACGTCTCCGCGCCAAACCCTCCGAAACCTCCAAACCCCGGACCTCCCCCACATCTCAAGCCAAGCCTTAAAGTATACGGACGACAAAACCGGGCAGCGGAAGACCAGCGTCATTAGCGACTGGGTCAAAGAGCGCGAGCGCGAGGCGCGCATTGCGGACGCCCGGCAAGAGTCACCAAGCGACTCCCTGAGGAGCGCCAGAAACGCGCGCGCGCTGGCGAGCCCCCGCGACAGGAAGGACAGCCCCCGGGGGGCCGCGCTGGTGGCGACCGCCGGGCACCATCCCCCGTGAGTAATTGGAGGCGTGAGGCGAGATCCTCCGACCAAATTGATGCGGGGACAATCACCAAAAAAAGTACCATGATTGCAAAGAAGATGCCAATGTCAATCTGCCGGTTGTTTTGGCTTCGAGCTGAAGGTCCAAGTGTACCAGAGATTGGATTCTGCATTTGACAAAGTGAGGCTCCGTCTCATGCACCGTCTTTTGCGTCAGTACGCTCTTTGTTCAGCATCAAATCATGCGCCAGAGTATTTAAAAGTAACGTTCAGCGCGCGCATCTTTGCGATCGCTCCGTTTGGCTGAACTGGTAAGGCCCCGTTTCTAACAAGATCATCGTTTTTTGCCCGTAGGCCGTACAGCGCGGTCCGGCAACCGTCCCCCCAGCGGGGCCCCGGGAACCCCTCCACCAGCGGCTCTCACGTCTCGCCGTCGAAGCGTCCGCAGGAAGCGTCCGGGACGCGCTTCTGGACGTACGGCGGGCGGGACCGCAAGTGCGACGCGGACATGGCGGCAACTCTGACAGAGGTACGGCTTGACAGCGCTCAGTCTTCTTCTCGTGGACACGCGTTCGTTGAGAGTCGCTAATATCATTTTGCGGACTTGCTCGCAAACAGAGCAGGTCATGTCGCTTCGAAGATTAGTTGGATTCTGTGCTCTTGAATGCATGCAGAAGAGAATATGAGAGAAAGCAGTAGGATCAAGCTCACCAGCGTGGAATTTCTTCCTACTTCCGACATAGGCATCGGTTCTGGAAATTGGAAATAGAGTGGAGTCTGGAGTCCATTTCCAGTACCATTGAATTTTCGGCAGTCAGGAAACCATATCAGAGTATTTGTGGTGCCAAGACGTTCTTGAAAGCAGTCCGAAAAACAATTGCGGTCCGCGAAGCACTTACACACAGTACCTTCTTCTCTTTCCAGGAGGTCGAAGCAAGCCGGGAACAAGTGCAGCACTTCTATCAGGAGCTGCAGGCGACCAAAAGGCGATTGCAAGAGGTGAGACGTCGCCGTCATGGTTGACCGTTCTAGTGTGCTCTGACGTTCTGCAGACCTTCATTCATTAAGGAGGCTTTCAGAGACTGTCCCTTGCTGAAGGGAAAAGTAAACAAGAGCATTGGAAACGCGGAAGCTCAGGGACAATCGCGGAAACGAAAATCGTCTCTCTGAAAAGTATCTCTGGCTCACGTCACCAGTTCTACTGCACACAAGGGAGGCGAGGGCTCGGTGGATTGGCGATGCACACTGCGTGGTTTTCTGGAGCGCGTTGCAAACGAGAAAGACACGTCGCCTCAGTTTGTTCACGTATCCACGCACTTTCTGACATTACCACGTCGTCGCACGCGCAGAGCGAAGCTAGCTCGCGAAGCAGCACAGCGTGTACAGCGCGATGGTGCGCCAGCTGACCGCGCAATTTTTGGAATCATCTCTGTGTGCTGACGCCAGTCCCTCTTCGCTGACGTCACCTGCTCGTCTCGTGCGCAGAGCGAGGCCAGCCTGGCGGAGCAACACAGCGTTTACAACGCGATGGTGCGCCAGCTGACCGCGCAGTTTCTGGAGGCCAAGACGGGTTTAGAGGCGGCCGGCCGCGAGGAACACGCGCTGCGCGAGGAAAACGCGCGGCTCGCGGCGGACCTCGCGGGCGTGACCAAAGAGCGGGACGAACTGCTGGAGGTGAGGTGGCGGGTGACGAAACATGATCTTCGGCCGGAACGCGTTTGCCGGTGCTGACGTATTCAGAAGTCAGGCCAGACGCGTGCTGTCAACTAGAGGAGGAGGATTGCCCAGCTTTGCATACCCCAGTTGAAGCTGTACAAAAAGCTGCGACGGATTGGTAATCATGGAAGACAGTAAGGCTTTGGGGATAAAGCGCTTAGTTTCGATTTGTAGATACCTTTCCACTGTAGATTGTGCAGATTGCCTTTGGAACTTGCCAATTGCGCGCGATCAAGGTTGGCTTGAATAACACTTTCATTGAAAGAGTAGTCTCGAACTCATGTGATAATTGAAGAGTATCACCACCTTTTCACGAGACTAAGCTCGGCCGCACACGGCCGCCACGTTACCACTCGCTGACGTTTCGCGCGCGTGGTCCTTTTGCAGCTGCTTCGGCGCGAGCGCGACGCGGCGATGAGCGCGATCGTGGAGCACACAGAGGCGCAGAAGCTGCTGAAGCAGGGGGAGGCGCAGCTGCTCATCGGTGAGGCCCCCGGCTTGGAAGAGCGCCTTTTAAACTTTGTCTGACATGTTCTGTCGCTAAACTGAAATTTATTGAGCGTATGTGTTGCTGCTAGAATCAAGGCAAACTGCTGTGAGTAAGAGATCAAGCAGAACCAGGCGGCGTTTAATTTAATCAATGTGTTGCCCTCAATTTCGCCACCAAGTTGGGTTCCTGAATCCGCTTCCCTTAACTCCGGTCCCTTCCAACCGTCGTACGCGCTACCTTCGCAAAATCTTGCACTCAGCTGGTAGTCCCGGGACGCCACTTGAATGGTCTTGCATCCGGTCCCTGGTTGAAGACATGGCCTTCAAGCGGCGAAGCTTTGAATGATTTTACAGTCTTTAAGCGGAGCCACAATGAGTACATTTCGCGGCAACGCTGCTCGCGGCGTCCCGAAAGTCTTTTCGAACCCCTGCAGAGTTGGCCGCGTCGCGCGCCGAGTGCGCGTCCCTCCGAAAGAACGTCGACGAAGAGAAGGAGGTCGTTGCTGCCGTCAGCCGCCAGCTGGTGGAGTTCCGCGAGCGCTTCGGGAGCGCGCTTCCCGCGCGCGACGGCGCCGCGGCCGCGGCCGCGGCAGCGATGGCGGCCGCGCGCAGGGCGACGCCGGCCGTCGTTTTGGAGGCGCCCAGCGTGGATGGCGACCAGATATCGCTGTACAGCGCGGCGATCTCTCCGCGAGCGGGCGGAAACTTTATTACGATCAACGTGGAGGATCTGTTGGTGACGGTGGGTATGCAGCTCTGGCTAAAACACCAAAGCATGAATCCGGACGAAAATGAGATCTGAAGTAGGATTGATCAGGCCGTGCGAACGGGGAAGTAGGAGCACTATTGAAAAGGTGTCAAAAGACGAGCTTCGCAATTTATCTCCTCTCAGACTCCATACGTGATGGTCTTGGTCGCCGTAAAGCTGATGCTTTGAAGTCGAAGATATCAAGGATTCGGTGTCCAGTATCAGAAGCCATGATGTATCACTGTTGACCAATAGCCTTTTATTCAACCGTTATCTTTTCATCATCTCTTCATCATCCGGTGACCTGCATTGTGGGAGCTATTTCCGATCTGGATTGCAGCCAGACCAATCGAAGCCAAAGGGGCGAGTAAGGAAATAGTGCAACAGACTCTTTTTATCATTCGAGTCATTGACCTGAACGAAGGTAAAATCTCATAACCGTTGAATTTTGCGTGCTTTCGACCGCCACGCACTCACGTTCCGGTTAGTTCCGTCGCTGCAGGAGGATGACGGCCCGGCGCAACTGAACGCGGTCCAAAAGAAACTGGCGGGCGCCGACGAGCACCTGAAGGAGATCTACGCCTTTTACTGTATGCTGGGGAAGAGCTACACCGACAAGAGCCGCCCCAGCATGACCCTGCTGCAGTTCGGTGAGCGGGCGTTTCTTTCTTTTTTGGGACTCACCTGCGCCGCATCGAGTGGTTTGAATAAGTTGCGTCTTGACAAGAACGCTTGCAGAGTAGCAGGATTATGCTGAGCTACACGCTTTCTCTGTTTTGGAATACACCATAATTGATTCTTCCCCCTGGCTCACCGGTGACCTTAATCAAGCCCTTCTCCTCAACTTTAATCAGCCGGACTCTGTGTTACGAATCTTGAAAGTTGGCGACGGAAGGCGGGGGGACCGTGCTTCTCTTTGCACTCATTTGTCACGAAGGTCGACCGGAATCCCTCTGAATGCCGTCAATATGGTTCAAGAGCATTCGGAACGAATCGAACGATTTGCTTTGATTACAACGTGAGCTTGAAGGGCTGAACATGCAGCTTCCGCAAAATGCTGAACTTCGAGTCCGTGGTCCCTTTTGGTTTCGCTTAGGATTACCTCGCTGTTTATGGATTCAGCCTTGCTCTCACCTGTCTCACCGAGTTTCCTCCCCGCCTCTCGTTGCAGGAAAACTAGTGCGGGACATCGGCCTGTTGAAACGGCAGGCGGACGGGCCTGGCATCGCAGTCGCACCCGTAAGCGACACCACTTATCCAAATCGACCTGGGAATGTCGTCCATATCTTGAGTCTTTTGAAAGTCTTCAAAAGCGCGTGCGAGTTTTTTAAAAGCAGGCCTCTGAGTCGCAGTCAAGCGCCCTCTGAGGGAAGTTGCTGAAGTTGCTGTGGACAGAATCACCTCCAATCTGGAAAACGATCTTCGATGAGAAGGAGTCGCAAAAGTGTTTCTGTATCGGCCGCTATAGATGGTGACCTGGTCGACGAAGAGTCCTTTCTGGTTTCGCCCCGCTTTGCAATCATGCCGAAAGCCGCTATTTCCTTTTCCATGATGACAAGAAATCGTGCTCCAGATCGTAGTCTTTTCTTTTGCAGGCTGCTTGCGACGCCATCTTTGCGAAAGTCCACGTGCCGGACGTGCTCGGAGGGGAGTCCGGCGAGCCCACGCTGACGTACATGGAGTTTTTGGAAGCGCTTGTCCGGCTGGCGGCGTTCCGGTACAAGCAGCCGCTAGAGCAGAAAGTGGGCAACCCGCGGCCGCCGCACCTGTCCAAGCGGGTGAGCGGCTTTAACCTTTGAGGGATCCCCCTGAGAGTTTCTTCCTCGGAACGTTTAGTGTGGGGGCGGTTCTGGATTTGTAGCTCGCCTGTGATGGACCAGATTTTTGGACTCTATGATTGAAACATGCTTTGCAATTTGGACGATAGAGAGGAGGGCTGCTTTGAACCAGATCTTTTGCCTAGAGGCAGACGTGTGTATCTCCTCCTGTAGAAATTAGACGTCACAGACGTCAGCGTCCGGGATACTCCGTAGGCCCTTCTTGCAGCCTTTCGTGGGCTGCGTCCTGAAAAATTCTGCAAGATCTATTATGAGGGGGCAGTCCGAAACAAGAACAAGAAGGTCGTTACGACTTCTAAAGCAGTCCAAGACATATAACAAGGAAGACTCGGCATGACTTGAAACATGACAAAGTAGAGGATGTAGCAAGGAAGAAGAATGTGTGAGTAGAGAACCGTAATCTCGTTAAGTTGCTTGTAGGTAAACAGATATGGTGAGAGCCTCAACTTCTCTTGGGCAGAGGAGTACGCTGTCAATTGTCTCGACTACCTTTTTCGTTGAAAGTTCCCTTCTTCTCTTGCAGTTGGCGCTGTTTCTAGAGAAGGATATACAGCCGAAGGCACGGCGAAGATTGGTCACATCGGCAGAAAAGAAGCAGCTGAGCGTCAGCGTACCGGCGACACCACTTTTGGTTTCGCCCAGGAGAGCCCAGGCTTCGACTCCTGTGGCAATAACCTTATCGAGTTGACATGGAGCAAGTACTATGCTCCAGCTCTTCATGATGCCAGCAATCCAGGATGCGAGCATACCTAACACAGCGGTACTGCAGATTACGTAAAATACTCTGGGTTGCGACACCCATTTTGAGCAGTATAATCATAACATTTGCGTCATTCCGCGCTCATACGCTCAAGTGGATGCATGTTCCATGTGGCGCTGCGAACTGTCCAGACGCAGCTTTTCGTCCCTATATAATTGTCAAGAGACAGAAGTATGGATGCTATCGGATGTGATCTGATATGAAAATCAAGGCCCAGGCTCGGTAAGGCAGCATCAATCTATGATCGAGTCGGACAAGTCATTACTCGATCACATACGACTTCGTATTTTAGGCCGACGCGCCAATCACTTCCGTCGGGTCTTTCATACTATTGACTGTCATATCCTAGTAATCGTGCCATTCTTGCTCTGCAATTAATGACAGCTTCTTCAGGGCCGTCCCCGGCCCTGGGACTAATGCCTCCATGTCGCAGACGGGAATAGTGGGCCGGCAGCGCTGGAACATGAATCAACAGTTTCAGGAGAGTATAGCTGCTGAGCAGCAACTTCTGATCGAATCAGCAAGCGCATTCGGAAAACTTTGTAAGAACTCTAAAGAGTGCCCCGATCATTCAACTTCCAACCACCAGTCCTCGGGGTCCCTTACCGGGACAATGCGCGGCCCGGCCGCGGCCGCACAAAAGACATCGTCCGAACCGTCGCGGATCGAAAGACCGTGAGTCCCACGTACGCCGGGCCGGCCGGTACGGTGTTTGGGCCGTCGATCCGGACGATCGGGTCAGCAGTGCGGCCGCGTCGCCGCACTGTTGTTCCCGCGAAACCCTTGTAAACCTTGGGGAATCCGCTTCAGCGGCCGCGGTTCGGCCAGCAACTCTCTGTACCTAAAGCGCGGCAAAGAAAAGGAGCACGTTGTCATCGCGTGCGGACGAAAGGCGCTCAAGTCAAGCATGGCAGATCCGAAGGTGCCACCGGGGTGTGTTTTGTTCAGGGTTGCTATTCTGATCATGGTTGCAGCACTCGCCTTGAACAGAGGTGAAGCAGCCAACATTACCCTTCAGGTGGTGATTGCTTATGTGGAAGTGGAAGGGAACACTAGTCTGCCTGATCCTGGTCCACTCAATGCTTTCTTTCGCGACAACACAAGCTTGGTCAACCCCCTTTTCCATCCCAACCCTCCCCTTCAGCTGCAGAAGTGCAACGCCAGCTTATACCAGACTCCATTCGTGTGACGATTCGAGTCTATGAATCTTCATATCGAACTCGTCCCAGTATATTGTCCGCGCGCGTATGGGGGCGTTCGCA